TACCTATCAGCCTTGCTTAAGACTGTAATCTTTTTTCCAAACGTGAATAGCAAATTATCCCAACATCATTTACAGAATAATGTTTTTCCCTCATTAATTTCCAATTCTTTCTTTATTATGTTTTTAATTTCCATATGGGTGCATCTGTTTTTATACTTTCTACCCTTCTGTTGATCTGTTTATTCCTACACTGTCGTCATACTGTTTTGATATCTGGTAGGAAGCATTCTCCCTTAATTCTTTTCAAAAATTTAACCTTATGCATTTATTTACTTTTTCAGAAGAACTTTATAATTTGTTAAGCCTTATCTTAATGCTTGTTTAGATGGCATTTCATACCTGTAGTTTTATTTTTATATGTGATTTATTCATTCAGTAATTTGGTTTTTTTTCCTTACATTTCAGAGTCCTTTGTATGGTAACTCACATGAGTCAGCTCAGTCTAGAAGAGTAGTAATTTCTCATAATATGGATAAAGCTCTGAAAGAAGGTAAGGATTAAATGAGAGTATATGTTATAATTACTATGTAAAGCAATTCATTACATTCTAAAAGGAAAATAATAATCTCTAGCAAATTTATCCTTCTTATCTACATACAACATTAGGAGTTTTTTTCTTCATGAATTTATATTTGATGACTGAATACATCAATGTTTTGGTTGAATGGAAGGGATTTAAACATTTATTGAGTAGGAATTTTCAGATCATATGAAGCTAGCCAGCCATGTAGAGCTAGTTCCACCATATGAAGCATGATCACTCCCTGTTCCTTAAAATAGGTTTTAGAAATTTTTTTCTAGATATAACCTAGAGAAGTTATGTTGGGGATAAATGGGCTCAGGCTCGCTCATGGATAAACCAAATAACCAAATTAAGTGATAGCAGTCAATACTACGGAAGAGTGAAGAACATACAAGTGAAGCTTGTATTGAAGAAAGCCGAGGGTGGATGGTGGAAGGTGCAATATGGTTATATGTCTGGAAGTGGGAATGAGTAAGTGTAGTTATGAATATTAAAGTTTAAAAAGGTAATAAATTTTGAAGTTCAAATGAAGGTTTAAAAAGGTTTTTTAAAATCAAATTTCTAAAAACACTGACAATTTATTCAGGAAAAAGTCTGAGTTTTTCAGGTGAGTACATGGTGTTAGACATGAA